CAACCTCGTGAAAACTCTCAATCAACAACTATTTCAACTTCAGTGTTATTGGAATGTTGCCATTTTTAAAGTATTATTTTGAACTGCAAACAAAACTTACTTAACAAAACAAAAATTTCACTTTTCAATGAACAGTTTGAAGAAAATTGATACGGCAGGATTACACATAGCAGCTCCAAAAACACCAACACGGTATACCACTAGGTCTACTGGAATCCTCGATTTCTTCCTGCTCGGAAATACCAGTGTCCCACTGGATATTTCCGTGCTGGATGAATTATCATCGGACCATAATCCGGTAAAAATGATTCTTGACATTAGTGGTTATACCACAACAGATACCAGAGCCTTTCGGATTGACTGGCAAAAATTTGCCAAAGCTCTCAACAACATACACTACACATTACCTACGATACAGTCAGGGAATAACATTGATAGTTTTATTCAGGAGATCACTCAAAAAAATTATCACTGCAAGAGACAATGCTCAATATGAAGTTCCCAAAAGGAAAACCGTACGAATTAGAGAACTAGCACTACTTATCAAGCAACGAAATGCTGCAAGAAGGAGATTTCAACGAACAAAACATAGAGAAGACAAGCAACAGCTGAATAGTCTTTCTAATGCAGTCAAGTCTCTTACACGTGAACAAGCACAACACAGCTGGACCAGCTACCTAAAATCACTTTCCACAGATGATAATTCACTGTGAAAGGCAATTTCTAGGTATAGAAAATGCTACAATAAGATTCCGCACCTTAAAGGCCCCACGAGGTTTCACTACACCGAAACTGAGAAGGCAGAATTGTTAGCACAGCAGCTGGAATCTCAGTTTTGCACAAACATACATGACACTGCAACAGAAAATCTTGTCTACACCTTTCATAACAGTCTCGCACCAGAAACAAACACAAACAATATCCCTCCAGTTATGCCTTCAGAGGTCGGTGGCTATGTCAATAAACTGAAAAAGAAGAAAAGTCCAGGATTAGATGGCATTACAAACACAATGCTAAAAAGTCTACCCATCAAGATAATTTTTCTACTCTCCAAAGTTTTTACCAAGATGCTACAAATGCAATACTACCCAAAACCATGGAAAACTGCAAAGGTTATCCCAATTCTAAAACCGGGGAAAAATGCAACAGATCCAGAAGCCTACCGTCCAGTCAGTCTGCTATCCTCTCTTAGCAAGCTCTTCCAGGCCACTATACTGCAAAGAATAAACAACCACCTGGAAAATAACAACATTCTCATCCCAAGCCAGTTTGGGTTTAGGAAGGGACTTGGTACAACCAACCAGCTCTATAGGGTTGTGGTGATGATTTCTGAAGGACTAACAACCAACAAAGTCACTGGAGGACTGTTTATTGACATAGCTAAAGCCTTTGATAGAGTTTGGCTGAAGGCACTCGTTTACAAAATACACAGTCTGAGATTCCCAGGTTACATCACAAACATCACAAAGTCCTACCTAACAGGTAGAAATTTTGTCGTTCACGTCTCTGGTACAAATTCCACCAAACATCCCATTAGGGCCGGGGTTACCCAGGGATCCCTTTTAGGGCCCACTTACTTCAACATCTACGTGAACAACATCCCTACAACACACAACACAACACTGGCTATGTATGCAGATGACGCAGCAATCCTCACACAAAGTGCATTTGCTGGTTCAGCTATCCAACATCTACAAAATTACATACAAGCATTAGAGGCTTGGCTAGTGCAATGGAAAATTCAAGTAAATATAAATAAGATGCAGGCTATACTCTTCACCAGGAAGAAAAAATTCAAAAAAATCCTACTGCTCTATGGAAACTCAATTCCCTGGGCCAAGCAAGTCCCTTACCTTGGGGTGATCTTCAGTAAAACTTTGTCATGGAACCCACACATAACAGAAATTATTAAGAGGTTTCGAGCACGTAAAGCTAAACTCTTTCCCTTAATTGCTCGAAACAGTGTTTTATCAATAGATAACAAGCTACTCATTTATAAATCCATTTTGCGTCCATTACTATGCTATGCATGCCCTGTCTGGGCCTATTCATGTAATCGCTACAGAGGCATATAATTGCAAATAGCACAAAATTCTACTCTGAGACAAATTCTTAATGCACCCTGATATATATGAAACAACAGAATTCATGAAGAACTGGGCGTACACCCCCTCAAATCATTTTATTATAGAATTGCCAAAGGATTTCACAATAGGCAACTTATGATAAACAACTCTGCCATCAAAATTCCTACATATGATCAATACGACTTAAAAAACAAAAACAGAGCACTGGCCATTCTCAATGAATGGATTATGTAATTCTTTTTCCTTTTTGTAAGCATAGCATAGTAATGCATTTCATTTATTCAGCATAATATATTAGTAATTGAGTACCTTCATATCAAATTTATTAAATCTGTATTGCATATCTCATTTCATGTATTAATTGTTTATCGTCTTACCAGCATCCTCTCTGTCTTACTCCTCTGATCAAGGGCACTTATAATACTTTTGCACTTCCTTACATCTAACCTCTTGTCACTAACTACTTGCCTTTCAGGACACCCAGCTCGGTAGCTTTCTGCTCTTTACAGCTATGAATAAGAAATTATTTATGAATTATATAAATGAATATAGTGAAGCATATTAACTTAAACAAAGTTCTAACTTCTAGTATTAATTTAAAAAATACATCTAATTTATAAGGATAATTTTATTAATTAATTGAAATGTCTAAACGTTCTACAAGGGGTAGGGCCTTCGGCCCAGGTAGCCTGGTGTACCAGAGCACCGCTCCACTGAGTCCGGAATTGGTTCCTTCTGTGATGATGCCATTATCTTGCATTTAATTCAAAAGCTTCTCAGTTTTCTCTTATTAAGCAAAAAGAAGTCATCAATCAGTTTGCTTTATTAGGCATGTAATTTTATCTATTCATATAGCATCAGTTTTGTGCAGCTATTATCATTGATGACTGAAAAGGCATCTTTAAATTCATCTATAAATTTTCTAAAGCAGGTCTACGATTAGGGTTTAATTTAATAAGTCATTTAGAGTTTTTTGATTCAATTAGGGGAAGCTCAATCAATATCAAGCCTTTTTCACAGAATTTAGTGTAATATTTGTAAAATGAATCCATGGTGCAATTTCATTAACTTTCCTCATATCGTGAAGCCAGTCACTTTTATTAGGAAACATGCACATTTTCCTTTAATGAGTCTATGAACATAACAAAAAATTCCTTTCAAATTTGTGTTTCACTAACAGAATTAGTAAGACCTATCTCCAAATTTCCATGTGCTTTTGTTTTAACTTGAATGTGCTACCTTTTTCAAGATATGTTGGCAATATTTTCATGAGCAGTAATAACTGCAGTAAGTGTCTCATAACAATTACATACATTTATGTTATTCATTTTAAATAAACTTATAAATGAGGCATTTTCAAAATCATTTGTTGTATTATGGGCATATGAAGAGTTGTTCACATCAGCAATAGGAAAGCTCATACTTTTATGCTTCGATTACCAATTTCCTAAAATTATTTTTGTACCTAACAGTGTATCATATTTTTGGGTTAAAGAAAGTATCATAGTTTCGGAAAATGCGATCAACCTTTTATTTAGCTTTTAAGTATTTCATTTTAGTTTATCTTTGCTCTTACATAATGAAGAATCTGTATGCATGTGTATTTGAATGTTCCTTGCGTTGTTAAAAAACAGCAGTGTATAGAGCCATTGAATTTTGAACACATGTCTTTCACGCAAACACGTGCACTTTGAAGGCGGAATTTAAACTTGTTTTTTATTTATTTCATATTTTGTTATGAATTTAACACATTTTTTATTAACAAATTTGGTGTTTTGAAAGCAAAAATAAATTGAAATAAAACACTTTTATTTACATTATGCCAGTGTAATGCCATTCAGCAAAATATAAAGTATTTCAACTCAAATGAACAAATTTGGCTATTTAAAAGTGATGTGTTGCCTGCCATTGACTGAAATAAAATATTTCTCTTATCCACATGCCAACATGTGGCCATGCGGTAAAGGGTAAGATATTAACATTCAAATTTAATCTGTGAGATACTGAGTAATGAAACCACCAATTTAAGAAGAATAAGTACAGTTCTTAAGAGTATGTTTTCCACTTTTAATCTGATTGCTTTATACAAAAAACTCATTTAAATCATGAAACATCAAATTACAAATATTAAATATTTTTATGAAATTGCACTAACTGTATTCATTAAAATCATTGTACATATTTTCCATTTCGTGATAACTGTTTCAAGTGGCTGGCTGTGCAAGCAACTAGTGAATATAAAAAAAATATTTTTATTTACATTTGGTATTTATCAACTTCTTTCCGTACATTTTGTTGTTTAATTTGTAAAACATTAAAAAATAAGGTATATATTAAATTTTGAAAAGGGGGGATAATGATGAAAGGAATGCAGGGGTAAAATAGGTTGGGAACTACTAGGTTAGAGTGTGTGCTTGGTTAAAACTCTCTTCACTTTTATTTCTGTAGTAAATTTAATCTTATTGTTGATGAGATCATTTCTTAGGTATCTTTATATTCATTTTACTTAATAATTTGTATTTATTTGTTTTTATAATTTTGCTAAGTTTTTTTTTCCCTCCCAATTACTAACTTTTTAATAATACCAAACCCTTTGTGTAGCAGCATTAGCTTAAGTATAAGGTTTAAGGCATTTTAATGAACCTTATACTTAATTTAATTTTTATTTTATTTCTTTATTTTTCTCATGCATATTTGCAATATTGACATGTATATTATTTACTTTCTATACATATTTGGCATATTGAATTTGTTTATTTTTATCATACAGATTTTATAGTTTCTGTGTGAAGTCTTTAGTATATCATAATTCTCATTGCGAGCCTATGAGTGTTTATTGTAATATATATATAGCACGCACATGTATATGCATAGTTATATGTAGTGTTTATTTATGTAAACTCTTATGTGCAGAAAATAGAAGAGCCACAGAAAATTCCTGTGTTAAGAGAAAAGTTGAATCATCAAAGTCATGCTATTCTAATGGGAAAAAGTTAAAATGTACTTTACATTGTAAGTATCTATAAAAATACAGTTAATTTTCTTATGTGAAAAGAAGTTGTATTGAATATGCGAATTAACAGTTGTCATGAACCTAGTTGTCATTTCTAATAATTGATCATTAATATATTCTGCTTCACTGTTCATAATATCTTGTCTATATTCCATTAGCATATAAATGCTTCAAGTGTGGAACTCGGTTTTGGCTTATTGAATTCCTAGCCATGTTTTTAACTCCACATCATATAAGTGAATGTTGTAGGAATTAGTGAGTGAAATACCTCACAATCTGTTGTATAACAACAGCAGAGTTGCCAACTCTCCCGATTTAGGTGGGAGACTCCCGATTTTCGACCGCTCTCCCGCTAACCCGATTTACAATATATTTCTCCCGACTTATTCTTAAAATTTCTCACGATTTTTATGGAACTTGGCTTAATACTTCATTATATGAATTAAAAAAAAAGTGATTTTGGAGTCTGAAAGCAATTGAATTTTCTCTACATTATATCTAAAACAAAATCTTGCGAATCAGATGAGAATTTCTGCTTTGTGAGTGAGAGCATACATATCCAGAAACGTCATTCTCCAATGGGCATCGAGCTCCACTGCGTGTCATCTGGTATATATTAGCCAATGAGCACAAAGCAAGCTCAAGGCTGTTATTTGGATATTCTTAGTTTCGTTATTTCGTTCATCTTGTCCTGAGTTGTGTGAGTACACGTGCCTTCGGGAAATAGTTTTAGAAATTATCATCTTTTGTTATGTCTGCGAGAAAGGTGAAATACTCGTGTACATTTCAAAAATTGTACACAGTTGACTTCCATTATTTCCTTAAGGAAATGTAATAAATTTGCGATGTGTACCGTCTGTCTTTGCAGTTTTTCGATTTCCATATGGTGGATGGGCGGATGTTCTTAAGCATGTTAAGCATGTGCGTTCACAAAAACACAAGGACAACAGGAGTAGTTTTGAATAAAAACGAAAAATTAAATTTTTAATCAGAAACAAAGGATCAAAAAGTTATTAATGCAGAATGTCTGTTGTCTGCCTTTTTACTGACTGGCAGGTTATTGCCGGCAATGCAGTTCACAGAACTGCATATCCGGCTCTATCAAACTAGCCACAATAGCGACATCACGATAAGTCAATCGTCACGTACCTTTTCACTGGAGCACAACCTCAAAGAAGACAAAAATAAGTTTTATCTTCATGTTATAAGTATGTACTGTCGAGTATGTGATTACATACTACGTAAATTTCCAGTCAACGATGAAATGATTTTGCATGCTAAAGTTGCTGATGTTTCTGCTCTAGCAAATGCATCTTTTTCTGATATAAATGTTTCATAAGAATAAATTGTATTTAATTAAATAAATTTAATTTAAATACAAATTTAGTTAAAAATTTAGTTAGATTTCCTGTGTTACATCATTTAGTCATGAAAGATGATATTGATGTTGCCACTGATAATGTTGCAGTCGCAATTTTGCAGTTTAGAATTAGAAAACTTGGATGAAGTTATAAAATCAGCTAGGATTGACACCCAGTGGAGTTTAATTGGAAAAACTGAAAGGTGCTGATGGAATTTTAAAATATAATGAACTGTCTGGAATTATGTTAGAAATCTTGACAGTTCCGTATAGTAGGCCTATGTGGCAATTGCTATGAACAAAATTATGAAGTTTCTTTCTTAACGAAAGCAAAATCTGCCCTGTTCATAACATTTGTACGAAAACTGATTAAACTGAGTTTTTTTCCCCCTTAAATGATGCAAGTATTAAAAATGTTTTTTATGTGTAAGGTATTTTTGTGTTGCTTGCATTTAAGAATTAGTAACTATTTAAAATTAATTCATTATTATAAAAACTATATTTTTATCATTTAAAAAGTCTTTTAACATTGTGAAAAATCTCCTGATTTCAGAAAAAAACTCCTGATTTTTGAGTGTCATAGGTTGGCAAGTATGCAACAGGAAAGGTGATAAAAGACTTGATGATTGTGGCAGAACTTCTCGAATTCTTGATTAGCAGTTTTGGTGAGATTAGTGAACTGGGATTGAACATACTTGATTTTAAAAAGCATGTTTTCTCAAAACAATTACCATATTTACTCATGCATTCCCCTCAGCAGCTTTTTAGCACAAGTCTCTGATAATTTTTTATATATTCGCATAATTTCTGTCTTCCTCAAGTCATTCAGAAACCAAGATCCCCTAAATTTTAAAATTAATTGATTCACATAGTGATTGTTTTCATCTTACTGATTGATTTTCTCGTGGAGTTTGGGTACATGGATTTTATCTGATGAAGCAGTTTTAGTGAAGCACTTCAAGAAAACGAAGCCATCGTAATGCTAATATTTTTTCTTATTGGAATGTAGGTTTGCCTTTTAGTCAATAATATTGCCATAGTTATCTGTAGTTTATAACCATGAATATTTTTCATTTGTTATGTTCTTATTTTAACCATGTCTGCCAGAAGTTAAATTATTTGCATAATTTTCCCCTCTTAATTTTCACATAAAATTAGTACAAAAAGGGGAGATACACAAAATACAGTATTATCATTAAATTGCGTTACAGATAGCTTTTATAATCTGATGCTGTTTATGCAGTTTGGAAGTTACATGTAAAACATAAATAAATACATACTTAGAATGTTAGGTTTCTTTATATTTGTTTAGTATATAACTAATATGAATGTATATGAGATGCATGTGATAATAATAAAACTGCTGGAAACTATAAATAAATTTATAAGTTCAGATATCAAGAAACAGGAAATTTTGAATATTCCTGTAATTTTATTATAAATTTTCAAAAAATTATGATATGCTTGTACATTTATGAAATACTTAACTAGTGCATTATTATTCTGAACTATTTACTGATGAAGTAACGGAAACAGAATTTATAGGGTGATCATAAGTTTATAGACATGTTGCTGACAGCTGTTTGGAAAGATAAATATCAACCATATTTGGAAAGTATATATATTATTCTGAGTCTATAGTTTCTATTTTAAAAATCACTGCTAGGATAATATTTATTGTAATGGTTCTTTATGGGGCAGCTTATCTGTGTTATCTGTTAAATTTTAGCGAAAAAACTATAGTGAAGAGATAAATCTAATAAATTTCTATGAGATATAAAAGAACAAAGAAATAAAATGCAATAATTTCATTTTAAGTACATATGGAAATATGTTTGAACAAATTGGTGTTTTAGAGCTAAAGATTAAATGACAGCTATGATTCTGTGTGTCTCATATCATCTTCTTCTCTTGTATATTCATACTGTGAGCAAAATGGCAAAATGTAGCTGCCTTGAAAGAAAGTTTTGGGTGATATGAAATTCTGCTTTTGGAAGTTCCAACTTTAAGATATTGCTTTGGTAATCTGGGGGATATTGGTATTGCCATACACATTATTTTAAATTGGTACTTTAAGTGAATTCATTTTTATTTTGTTTCTTAGTTCAAAGTATGTTGGATAAGTAAAATAAATGTAGTAATGAAGACATGTTTAAATTAGATACAGATGTGTAACGAATATCTTTTACAAAAGTCTCAGTTTTATTGATGTATTTTAAATAAGGACACTTAATCATTTGTGCAACTAAGTAAAAGTTGACAAATTTTCTGTATGTGCAAAACTTTGACAACCATGTGCATATTAATTTTCTAGTTTTAGCAAACAGCGGCACTATTTTTGTATGTATTCTCTTTGTTTTATTTTTAATTCCAGCAGTTTTTATGAATAAAACATATTTTTTTACCTTAACACAGTTTTAAAATACATGCTTATGGGATCTGAGTAGAATGGACGAAACTAATAATAAAATTTCTGCAGGAATTCTGTAGTTTGCTACAAAATTACTGAAACATGTAACTACTTTGAATATATTCTTGAACAAGCTGTCACAAAATTATTTTGATAGCAATCTTGGCAAGAGAAAATGGCATTGTTGGAACTTGGGTGTAAGAAAGTGCAGTTTGTTGCCAAAAATTATAAACAGCCACAAAAACAAAACTGACAAAATAATAACTAATGCAAAATTACCAATTCATCCAATATGTGCTTAATATTATTTATAAATATCTACATACAAAAGCAGTTTAATATAAATGAGTTTTTATTATTTTATTTAATATAATTTTGAAGTAATTTATTTCAAACCAACAATAAGTGATCACAGGAAACTGTCAACCACTGAAAACATATACAAACATAACATCATGCTTAAAAATGAATTTTTTGATGAATACTTTATGTTGCTTGTTAAATGTTCGGTGGTTGCGAAATTAAGCAATTTCTCCCCAGATATGTGTGCAATATGCTAATAATGCATCAAGGACATTATCATGACTAACAGATGCTTGAACATAAATTTTGGTAGGACTGTGTAATAAGTTGTATACCTGTGTGTGTGTGCATGCGTGCACGATCTCTGTAAGCATTCTCCTTTCTTGCTATAGCATCTTTTTTTCTGTTGAGGCCAGAAAGTGTATTAACTATCTGACGACTAAAAACTGTTCTATTTTAAAAGACAAAATTTTCACTAGCTGAAGAAATGTAAAATATACACAGACTCCTGGAATTTTAAAGACTCCGACTCCCTCATACATATGTAAACATATACACATGGGCTACAGCTTATTAGTTTTTAATATAAAAGAAGTAATAGATGCTACAGGGGAAAAATTGATGGCATAGCAAATTATTTATATTAATTAGAATTTATTTTGAAAGGGAAAAACTGGCATTTGTTGTTTCTAAGAAACAGTATAGCTTCGGCAAGATCTTTTTTGTTAGAGGACCATAGATTCAATTTGATAAATTTCAGAGCTGAGAATTTTTCACACTGACTTGAGTAGGAGGAAGAGCTGTTATTGTTAGGACTACTTCTTTTAACTTTTCAGGATAGATTTTTATAAGTTCTATATTTCTCTATTTCTTCAAAGGTGGTGTAGAAATCTTGTTTGTATTTTTTCATTTTCATATCTATATAT